TAGTTCTCCCTGTATAAGTCTCTTACATCTTTTGTTAAATATATTCCTAGATATTTAATTTTCTTTGAGGCTATTGTAAAAGGAATTGCGTTTTTGATTTGATCTTCTGCTTGACCAGATCTACACCTAAGTTGTACTTGCTTTCAGCTCGCTTATGTTTGCGATTCACTATTTAAGACAACTTATATAACAGATTTCTAATATTTTCCTGACATAGTGCTGTTTAATGTCAGAAGTTCCATCAAAAGTTTGATTTTGATTTAAAAAAAAAGAAAAGAGGAGGGGAATTTTTCAAATGGGTTATTTTATGAAATAAGTATCTTGGATGTTGCTACTATTTGGACATCATCAATCAGAAAGATTGTAATAACTGATGGGGACGGTATGATGCGCTCATTAACACTGAAGTGCAGGAAATGCCACCTCTTATTTTTCTATGTTTACTTTCTGTGGATAGCAAAGAGGTGCATTGTCTGCCATGTGGGGTCTTCTCTTTTTTAGGTGGAAGAATAACCTTGGAACAAAGCAGATCCCAAAACATGGAGGAGGGATCTGGACCTTTTGTCCTTGTCCTCCCTCCCCCATTACTGTTGCCTGTTCTGCTCTACAACAGAGTTGATTGATGTTCCTACTGGTGGCCCCTGAAGTCCTCAGGGCACTCTGACTGGCATTGTCTCAGCCTCTCCACCTTCTCTCAGGCCCTGGCAGGCATGCTGCGAGTTGCCCAAGCTTTGCAGGCACCTGTACATGTTTCCACCCCACAGGAACCTTACTTGTCACCTCTGGCAGACACCAGCCTCGGCCTTGCCCAGGCCTCCACCACACCCAGTGAAGGAGTTGTCCTAGGGCTGCAGAAACAGCCTGCTTCTCTGCTCAGAAACATAAAACAGCCGTTACTCTCACTTGAGCTCGAATTTAAGATCAGGGAGCAGGGCATCTCTTGCTCTGAAGAAGAGCAAGTCATCTTTATGTTTTTAAAGAAAATTGTTCCATCATCAATGCTTTAATGTTTTGTGTTTTGAGCTTCGGCTGTCTTTTGGCAAATGCACTTCCTTTGGAAGTTAGAACACCGTTCAACCACTTCCTCTGTGTTTCTTATAAAGAAATAAATACACGTCTCTTTCCACCCTCACAGTGGTCATGTGCAGTCTACAAACGCGGATGACGTTGACAACCCCTTTGGAGACATCACATCTCTAGCCGAGCCTCGGCGCTCTAAGACTCTTCATACAAACACGAGTCGGTGAGTCCCACTCGTAATTATTTCACTTATTTTATTACTGAGGATGAAACATGATGATGGGCCTTATCATATATGAAGGAATACAAAATGGCCTGTTATTGAACATAGCTTAAGAAGACCTGTGTCCTGAAAGAATTGTAGTTTGTCCCACAGGAGATTACAGGTTTGGGGACTGACTCACCTGGGGCCCATAAGCAAGTCACTTCATCTCTGCGACCTCACTTTCTTCATCTGAAACCTGTGAGGGAAAATGACACCAAGCAAGGTGATTATGGGGATCAGTAATGTTTGTAAAGTGTCTGAGACACAGCTGATCAGTAACAAGTCATTATTAAAGGCGGTAAAACTGGGCTGTGTTTCGAAAACAAGATACGTGGTTTTCCAGAGCTAGGGTGTCACTTTCCAGGACACTGGTCTGGGTAAATGGCAGGTACAGTCCAGTGGCCCTGGTCAGAGGCAAAAGGATAACAGTGAGCTGGATGTGCACGAGTAACCTTGGGTTGAGGAAGGACGGGATGCCATAAGCATAACATGCTTTGATATTTGGGATTTGTCACCATAATCTTTATGTATACACACACACACACACACACACACACACACATGTATGTATATATAATAGATATGTGTAATAAAATATATATTGTTTTATATCTATTATGGATACATATTATACATACACACACAAACACATACACACACACACACTTTTACCAGTAGGAATACTTAGGCTCAGAAACATTGAATTACTTCTCCAGAATTCATAAGACAGGCTGGAAGCTGAAGTCCTGTTCTCTTTTCATTATGCCACAGAGCTGCCAAATGTCACAGCCATTATACCATCAGTTTTTATAACGAATGACAAATCCCGCAGAAGTTTTCATGCAAGGCCATAGCATGAATCACCATAGTATTTTAAAGGTTAATTAATTTTGTTCTTTTTAAAACAGCAGTGTGCCCATGAGACAAACTAGTTAAATTTCACATTAGCTGTATTTCGGACATATTCTATTGCTTGTTAAATGCAATACTATTTTCTACAATAATTTTGATATTTTCTATGTTATCTATTCTATCTAATTTTTTTTTTACTACTTGGACAAATTATGAAATATGTTTCAAAACTCACTTTGGTTTTAAAACACAGCTTTGTAACCTATCTCATTGAAGAATTTAATGAATCTACCTAATTCAATAAAAATAACAACCACATAAACGAGTTCCTGAAATGCTCCAGGTACTGTGCTAAGAATGACAGCAATATAAAGATAAAAAAGGCAAAGGCTTTGCCTTTAAGTAGCTGAAAATTTTGGAGGATAGATAAGCTCTATACACAAATAATTACAATATAAAGAAAGATGAAATAAGTCTCATGTAAAACTCAGCTCAGCATTTTGAAGCACAGTTGTCATGTCGTTCTGGGTCCTGAGGAAGGAGTCAGTTGGTGAGATTCTTCCATAAATTCCATCAGGAAATCACTACTATTAAACAATGTAATAATTCTAAAAATTTTAAAGGAAGGATATGGGAATAAAACTAATTTTAAAATATTTTTCAGGCGTAGAAATTTAATACTATTTCTTCTATGAAATGTATATTTGAATTTTGAAATTTTTATGAGAAACATTCTGCCTAAAAATCAAAACATATTCTTTTGGGTCATTCTTCAAAGAGAGTGAAGAGCAGTCTGGCAGAATTTCAAAAATTTGATGTAAAAACATGCCATTTAACTCAAATAAATTTGGGAGTGTAGTATTCTTCCTCATCTTGCTGTTAATTTCTGTTTTTAAGGAACTGAAATTATGAGTGGATTGTGTAAAACAATTGAAGACATTAACTATACTTACCAGATTTGGGCACTAGAGGGCCTCCAAGTTTGCAAAGATTTTTTTTGGATACGTTTTCAATTTTTAACAGAATCTTAACCTTTTAACACAAAGAAATGTTTTCCATTTTTATTATGAAATATTTATAGATTCAAAAAGATATAGTGTCATATGTAGTTTGCACAATACTGCATTAAACTAAAAAGCAAAGTACAGAAGAATACATACATACATATACTACGTCATTTGCATATAGTCCCAAACCCAGAAACATGTAATGTTACTTTGTGTCAAGTAGGGAATAGATACCATCTTATTCAAACACAAATGTGGCTCTTTCTGAATTTTCTAATCTTAATTTTCTTAAAAATAAATACATTTATGTTATTATCTTTAGGGTTTTCCTCATGATTTGTGGCACTTAATCATGGCTGGAAAGCCATGCCAGCTCCCATCCATCCAATGGAAGCCATATTCCAGGCAAGGGTCAGGGCCACTGACTCTTGAGGTCAAGTAGTCCCATTGTTGGCATCACCAATTTCCCTAGAGAGTGAATGTTTTTCAAACTTTCCTCACCAATTGATTTGTTTTCTGGTCATTGAGTCATCTGACCTGTCCAGTGTTTTTTATATTGGTGGTGATTGTACTAAGAGTTTAAAAAATAGCTTGCTATTTTTATTGTAGGACTGAATCTGATCATTATAGAAAAAGTACAGAAAAATTAATAATAATAAAAATATAACCCAACTCTCACACAGAACCTTAACCGTTATTAATATTTTGGCATAGTTACATCTGTCATATGCATTTTTAAAGTATTGCTTTTGTATATTTATATAGCTATGATCATATTAAACATAACATCTTTACTACCTTAACATTACAACATAAAGGTGGGTACATGTTTTTATGAACTCATCATCATTTCTGTTTTTGTAGATGTACTGCAATTGACTAGTTCATTTAGGTTATATACGTAAATTGCTTCCATTTTTTTGCCATGACAAATAATGCTCTCAAACACTTCTTACACGATTCTTTCATGATTTGGAGTTATTTATTCAAGGAATACTCCTTGAAATGCATTCTGGGTCAAAATATATAAACATTCTTAAACTTATCGCTAAATCATTTTCTGGTGGTATTATGTAAATGTACAGAGGAACAGTGTTGATGCTCAATATGTATGCTCACCTTCAGTGTTACGTTGAAGCTCACCAAACATCATCTCTTTTTTCTTCCAAGTGTGTTCATCACAAAAATAATTTAAGTATTTTTAAAGTATAAAAAGGAAAATACTGCTTCCATTTCAATCCCAATATTAAAGGTTTGATTTATTTTTACATTCCCCCACCATGTATCTGTGAACGTCTGCAGTGTATACGCACATGTGTATTATGTGTACATGTATATGTGATGCGTGCATGTGTATGCAAGATTGAAATGTGCACTGGTCATTTCTCCCATATTAAAATCTCTTTAATGGCTTCACAGTGTTCTACCCCAAAGTTATATCAAGTTTATATAGGCCATGTCCTGACCAAAGTATTTTTCTTATTGTAAACAATATAACAAAAACAACCTCTACGTATAGTTTTTTCACATTTATGCATGCATTCCTGTAGAACAAATTCCTAAAAAATGGAATTGTTATGTGAGTGTTCTTGTTAAAATTAAAATATTTTTTAATTTGGTAGGCATGCCTAGTTATTAAATGGCATTTAGAGTTAAGGAACTCAAAATATTAATGTGGTTTCTACTGCATTTCCTCACTTGTGACTTGAGACTAGGAGAATCCAGAATATCCACGGGGTTCAATAGGAATTACTGAAGTTCAGGATAGCTAGGCAGCTTTTTTGTTTCTTCAACATACATGTACTATTGACTAGATCTTCAGGAAGTTTTTAAAAAATGATATAAATTCAACCCCACTAATAACGTGTGTCAAGCAAAAAAAATAAGGTAAGATTGAGATAAGTATTCCCCTCCCCCCTATTTTTCAAATCTATTTTTTTGTCCTTTTCTTTAATACAAGATCCATATTTTTCTACCAAGGCTCAGTGAAGGTTGAAGAGAAGTTCAGTGCCTTTTAGTAATTATTTTATAGTCCCATGTAGTTTTGAGGCTTTGCAGTCGCGAGTCATCACGCAAGACACATGATAACTGAGTGATGTGTAAGGGCAGAGCTGTGCGAAGTCATGATCCAAAGGCACTTAATCGTGGTCCTTTCCTAAGCCAACGGAGAGAGCTACTGATGGTGCTTTTTCTGTTTCAGTGGACTCTAAATGTTGGAACTACACACTTGCATCTTATAAATATGGGGGAGGACTCTGGGATCTTACCTACATGCATCTCGCCCTTGTTTTTCCAAAGAAGAAACAGGCTCGGCGCAGGTGAGACACAGGCGCAGATAACAGAGCAGATGACTCGAGCTGGCACGAGAGCCCGGCTGTCTGATCCCAAACTGGTACTTACAGTCACCATTTGCTTATTTTGCCAAACTAGTCAGCTGCCTCCACTGTGCTGTCCACCGAAGTGTAATCTTTTATCTGAGGACATCAGACTGTTTCATCTTTACTGTGCTTTTTTGACCTTGATGATTTCCATGAAGAAGCATTTGCAAATAAAGAGGAAGTGTCCAAAATGGACCCCCAGGCAGCCCCTGGCAAAGGTCTGAGATGGAAAAAGGGAGGCTTCCCTGCAGGTCACTGGGCTGTGTTGCAGCAAAAAAAAAAAAAAAAAAATCTTACCGCAAACCAGGTTAAAGAATAACTATGAATAGTAGTTCCTTACATTAGCCCCTCACTTCTGCCTTTTCAGAGAACTTTCACATCTACTCTCTCATTTGTTTTTCAAATAGTGTGAGAGACCAGAGGTGCAGGAACCAGTTCTAGCCCCATTTTGCAGATGGGAGGCTGAGGCCAGAGAAAATGACCCAAGGAGCCCAAGATCACTCATCTCATGAGTGGTGAAGAGAAGTCCAGAGGACTGGCCTCTTAATCCCCAGGGCAAACTCTTGCCCTTAATCCGTATCAAACATGCCTTTGCCTCTGGCTAGTAACTGGCTCCTGGGGCTTCAGCCTCACCTATAAAATAAAAGGTTTGGGTTATATTATTTCTACATCCCCTTCTAAAGAGAAGAAGTGAAAATTCTAAGAACAGAGGAGGAAAAAATCATATATTCACTAGATGATGATAATAGCAATAAAGCTCTAATTCCTGAAACGTATCTTGGGGCCACAACATCTTATGTTCAGACAAATACAGTCCAACGACCAAATCTCATTGCAAAATGATTCTAGTTCTGTTTTTGCATTTCTCGTTGAATAATAAAATCAGACAAATCCCAGCTCACAAGGACCCCCTGCATTTTCCTCTCTAGCTGTGTCCCACTCAGACTTCTCTGCAGCCTCCCCCTCTCTCCGTCTTCTGGGCGGACACTCTCTGGAGTGCCGGGGGGACCTCCCTGCTCTTCCTCCCTCTCCCAATTTCCTCTGTCCTTTCCCCGCTGCCTCCTCTCCCTGACACCTGTGGTTCCTCTCCCCTTGCGTCTGCACCTGCTGTGCGCTCCGCACTGCCAGCTCGTCACCTGGTCACATCGCCCCCGGCACCCTTTCAAGGGGGGCACAGTACCCCGACTGCTGGCAGACCGTGGGCGAGGATGGCTCAGAAAGCTCCAATTCAGTCTACAGTCACGGCCCTGGAGTAAAATGTGTCTGTCTCAGGCACCCCTCTTACTTAGTATGTTTGGTCTTTGCCCACCTGGGTGCTTTAAACCTCTAGATGTACATTTTTTAAATTTACTTATTCACGTGAAAGCTGTCAGGAGCCAGGCTTGCTTGATTTCTGCCTAGAACTGTACCTGATAGAGAATAGCTCTAAATACAAGATTGTCACATTGGTTTGAACTCTCACTCACACCCCATCGCCTGAATAAATGCAGTCTACATGAGCTAACAAGGCTCTCCTGGCCAGGCCAGGAGCAACGCCAATGATTTTCCCCACGCAGCCTAGTGGCATCGTCTCCAAATCCCAGGCCTTCTGGGTTGGGGTCCAATTCTGCCATTTGGCAGCTTCGTTGGCTCTGAGACTTTCTCTGGCTCAATCCCTTCATCTATAAAATGGGCATGATAATAGGACCTGTGACACAGGGTTATCGTGAGAATTAAATAGTCAATGCATGTAAAGCATTTGAAGCGGTGTCTGGATTATAGTACACCCAGTGAGTGCTAGTTATGTCTGTATTGTAGAGAGATATGTTGTATGCAGGCCTAAATTTTTATCCACATATACGCTACATATATTCTACATATAATGTGGTTTTTCCCACTTTTTCCTTATCTTCTATTTAGCTTCTAATTATATACCATATGTGCTCCCTTTTTCTAACTGATTTACTAAACTTCCTTATTTTCTGAAATTATTTAATTTCTATTTCATCATACTTTGTTGAAAACCAATTAGTTGGAAACTTAGGCAATAATATATTCAAATTTATCCATTAGTGAACAAAATCCAGTCTTATTTGGGAATAGGAGACACAAAAGAAGGCGTTCAAAGGACTAGAAGCTATGGAGCAAAGACAAAAATGAAGACTCCTCATTTTAAATCAGTTTCTGCTTTTCTCTGCTTTCCTCAAATGGGGGGGGCAGAATTCTTTGAACATCCAACTAATCTGGAAATCCATTTCACAGCCTGTACATTTCAGTGTCTTTAATACTTTGTTTCCTGCAGCTGAAAAATAATATCTCCTATCAGCAGCAATCTAAGTGTCCCCAGAGAATATTCTCCTCTTGATACGAGGTCAGCGTGTTGCAGTTAAGATGGCAGAAATTCGCCTTGTGATGTCGCTCCATACAAGGGTTAAATGGAATAGATTTAGAAGCAGCGTGGGTGAGAACTTTCGTTTTCAAATATTTGGCAGTTTATTATGCAACTGAATTCATTCTCAAGCCTAAGCAGCTAATCAGTCTACTATTTCATAGTACGCTATTGTTAGATATGATGTCATTTAATATAATGTAACATCTGATACTATTTAACATCAATAACCTGCCTGCCACGGAGGCATGGAGGCACACATAGCTGTATAATGTTTCGTATCAAGCCCTTCGTGTGACTGATAGATCGCTTGCTTCCATCCTTCTGATTCTTAACTGCTCTGATAGAAGGCTATGACTTCAGCCACATTTTAATTCTGCAGGTGTTTCAGATGAAGTGGAAAAAACCTCTCACACAGATGGAGGGGATTTCCTTTATAACATGCATGGAAGCTTTAATGAATGTTTGGGGGAGAGATGCACACATAAATAACTTTGCCTGATTTTTGGTTACCTCTCTAACTTACAGCTATGCTTTTTCAAGAAAATTCCAAGAAGTCCTAAAGGCCACTGCCTAGAATTTGGCAGCTTTAGGTCGCCCACCCAGGTCACCCGTATCCCTGATGATGCTGCTGTAACACAGAGGCTCCTGAGTGTCGCAGTACAGGAGAAGGATCTGGAGAGCTGTTGAAAGCCCCGACGCCCCGGCCATGCCTTTTACTAATTAAACCAGAATGTCAAGGGTGGGAACCAGGCGCTGGTACCTTTTTAAGATGCCCATGAGATTCCAGTGTGCAGCGCCATTGGAAACCTCTGTCTTAATACAGCTGTCTGTACTGGGTAAGATTTGAATTCTCCACCAAGAAGGCCCTTATTTTGTAAATGTTTTATTTCTTTAAAGTCCTGTACATCAGCTAAAATTAGTTGAGCGTCTGTTAAGCGCTAACAATTTGTTAGCTACTTTCACATTCGTTTCATTCCTTTAATCCCCAGAGTGCCCCTAAGAAGCGAGCCATGCTATCTCTTTTCTGCAGTTGACTGAGCTCAGGCCCAGAGAGCTTGCTTCACTGGAGTGAAATCTCACAGTTGGTTAAGGGCAGAGACAGGCCTAGAATGGCAGCCTGCTTCTCAACGCAGTGAGCTTCCCCACTTATTTTCCTAGTTTCATGAAATCCACTATTTTGCACTGCTTATTCTGGTGTTGCCCGTGATGTAACTTCCCTTCACTTTGTTAGTGTCAGAGTGTCCCCTGCTTCAGCTCCTGCAAGCCAATAAGCCATCACCAGTAGAGTCATAGAATCACACACTTGGAAGAGAATTACAAGATTTATTAGTGCAATTCCCTGTCTGATACATATCTTTCCCCTAACATCTGATACTAACACATAATCAATGCGGGAAGTACACCAAAAAATTGCCATATGAATCATTATCTTTTTTTCCACTTCACTCTCACCCAAGTCCTTTCGGTTGGCATCACTACCCACTGGCGTGGCTGAGGCCAAAAGGCCTCCAGAGACTATGTCCAGACCTGTGAGTAGAGCTGAAGGCCTGAGTCTTCATCCTAACCTTGAGTGCACACCCATTTCACTAACTTCTCTCTTCTGTCTGCCTCGTCACCTGATGCTTTAAGGAGCAACCTCCTTCAAGATCCATATTTCAAACATTACTCCTAAGATAAATGGCTCCTACAGAAGGTTTAGTTTGGAGCTGTGGAAAAGGCATCGATATAACCGGGACCTGCACAGAGAAACCATTCCTCCACCTTTGTTTGGCAGAGGTTTAGTTGTTGCTACTGTGTTGCATTTTGTCTGCTAGTCAGTTTTGAATAAGGAACCACACCACAGAGATGTCCTCTCAAAGAAAGGCCCCAGGGATGGGAAGCACACACCACAGAGCCTGCCGGCTGGCCCTGCCCTCACTGAGAACATGCCCCCAGCAGTGACTTGCTGTTTCCCCCTCTGAAGCCAGCACAGCAGCCTGAGGCTGTAGCACTGATACGATTCTGCGAATCTGACGGAGCCTCATGATCTGCAGATAGCGTGTTCTTGCCCCTTGAAGTACAGTTTAAACCTTGCTTTCCTTAACTCCTGACAGTGAAGGCAACACGTGGTAAAGCAGCCCATGGGGCTGAGCCTCGCGCTGGGCTTTACCCGCCTCGCAGGAAGTCATCTGCGTGTGCTGTAAGGGCACAAATATTATTCTTCATATTCCTGTCTGAGTTATCTATTTAAATCTTTCTTTTGGAAGCTTGTTTGCCTTTTCTAGAGAAGCCTTTAATATACACACTGAAGAACTTTCCCCTACATTCTTGAGTTTTCTCTTTTTCTCCCTCTCTCCCTGGTGGGGAAAAGAACAAGGAAGCAGAAGATTCGGTGACATTAAACCAGACAAGCTGACGTGGAATTAATGTGGTGGTTCACACTTGATTCTAAAGTGTAGTTTTAGGAAATCATCTGAAATCTGTAATACAGTACATTAATGGTGATAAGAAAGACATTTGATTAAAAAAGCTGCTGTAAAGAGCGTATGTTCATTAATATTGGCATCTGCACTACAGAGTTACGTGTAGAATATGGGTCCACTGTTTTGGCAAGAAGTGGTGTCTTCCTTCATTATGGAACAGAGCTCAGCAGTGAGTCATGTTTGTAAAAGACATGGAAATTTAAAATAAGAGCAAAACATGCACTTGAAATAAGTTTTGTCAATCCTGGAGTAGAGTTGTCATCTGAATACCTGTGCTTCCGTATGTCTCATGCCTGCGATCCTTCCTGTTTGGACAGCCCAAGTCCCACACCTGATACAGGAAAAAAAAATTAGGCTGCATCCTCCTTTATATTTTTAATATTCGGGTGCTAGTTACCATGACCGTTTCATAAACCATTATTTTAATTTCCTCTCTTTTCCCCTTTTAACTCTTCACTCTAGTGCTGCAAATATTCCAGGATACACTGGCAAGGTTCATTTCACAGCCACTCACCCAGCAAATTCTAATATTCCATCAACAACCCCACCACCAGATTCAGAACTATACCGGTAAGTATGAATCTTATTACTCAACTTGCTCAGATACATCAGGAGGGGAAATCCTAATTACGGTCATTCCATTAAAGAACAATTAAATATTAAGAGTAAATTTACATTGCTTTAAAAAATAGAGCATTAAGTACAAAAAAGAGAGAAGAGTTAATTTTCCTACTGAGGGGAACTTTATTAGGTCTTATGCAGGCTTCCTTTTTGAATCTTACCCCGAATTACTTTGAAAACCAGGTGTAGATTAATGTTAATATTGATGCTGCTGAAAGGACTATATTAAGATATTTAAGGCACAGTCGGGGGACAGCATCTTTGCCTCTCAGATGCACAGCTTTGCTTACACACCATCCTTCTGCATTATCATCAGAAGATGCAGGGGACATACTTACATCAGATGCACATTTTCTTCTTGTGAATTCACCTTATTTTTTATAAAAGACAAAATTCTGTTGAAAGTCACATATATTTTTAAACCCCATTTTTTGCAAATTGAAAACAGGAGACATTAGGTGTGAGGTTACTGAAGACTCCTTTCTTTGAAGGTATTGGTGAGAAGCAGCACATTAGTGCTCATTGTAACTCAAATACGAAAGCATCTAATGGGAGTCCTGGCCTTGGGAAAGATGTGAAATAGTTTTGAAAATGCAAATGCAGTCCGAGCCAGGTCCAGAGCTGGCCCGGTGCAAATGAATACACTCTCATGGTGGCAAGGCAGAGGTGGAGGAGAGGGCAGGGCAGCTCTCCCCCAAAAAGGGTACGTTTTTGTCTTGGATCACATTCTTTCAGTGGAGGATTCATTCATTCACCAAACACTGCCTGAGCATCCACTCTGGGTCAGGCACTGTTGAAGGCACTGAACACACGGGGATGAACAGAGAAGATCCCAGCTCGCCCGGCTGACCCAGGAGAGCTTGCCTGGGGTGGGGGGCACTTTCTGAGGTGACCGTCAGGTGGCGCGCACTGCATCAGGCGTTCCTGCCCCGACAGACTTCATGAACCTTCAGGAAGGCAGCGACCACAGGGAATGGGAGCAGCTGACAGGAACTGGCTTCTTGGGCTGCAGGTTCCCAGTTCACCCAGCTGCTCATTCTCTCATTCACTCGTTTATTTGTCGGTTAATTTGTGTGGTCTTTCACTGAATCAACGAATGCTTATTGTGCTCCGGTAAATTCACAAGAACTGTTTGCAAGGAGCTCGCCATCTCACAGTGAGCAATAAATAAACAACCACGGCAGAGGATGATGACAAGCATCGTAACACTAACAATCGCACCCACTGACGGAGGGCTTCCTCTCCCGCTTTGTGGGTGCTGACTCATGTCACTGTCCCAGGAACCCTGTGAGGAAAGGGCTGTTACTATCCCCATTTTATAGATAAGGAAGCTGGGACACACACAAGCGGCAAGGGGATCTGGTGGGGGGCAGTAAGAAGACTTCACAGAGGAAGTGGTTTCATCCAGTGACTCTTGGAGGATCAGGACTTGGTCTCACAGGTATTTGAGGGCCACGCTGCATGCGGACAGGGCTTGGCGTACTGTAGGGAACCTGCAGCAAGCCCCTCATGGCACAGTAAAGAAATTTAGGAGGGCACCTCTCAGGGCCATCACTAGACATCCGTGTGCCCTCATGCATAGAGAACCCTGCACACCCCTCAGCCCTGTGTGTGAGGCCTTTTCTAAGGCGTCTGTATATTTGACCTTTTTTTTCTTTTTTAGATTCCACATATAAGTGAGATTATGCAATATTTTTCTTTCTGTTCCTGGCTTATTTCACTTAGCAAAATGACCTCCAGCTCCATCCATGTTGTGGCAAGTGGCAGGATCTCCTATATTAAGGCTGAATAATACTCCACTGTATATACAGACTGCAGTTTCTTTATCCATTGCTCCATCAACAGACACCTAGGTTGTTTCCATATCTTGGCTACTATGAATAATGCTGCAGTGAGAAAATAATTTCATTTCCTTTGAGTATGTGCCCAGAGGAGGGTTTGCTGGATCATATGGTATTTCAATTTTTAATTTCTTTAGGAACCTCCATACAAGTTTCTACAATGGCTGTACCAATCTATATTCCCATCAACAGTGTACAAGGGTTCCAATTTCTCCACACCCTTGCCGACACTTATTATCTCTTGTCTTTTTCATAGTAACCATTCTAACTGGTGTGAAGTGATATCTCATTGTGGCTTTGATTTGTATTTCCCTGATGGTTAGCAATGTTAAGCACCTTTTTACATATCTGCTGATGGTTAGCAATGTTGAGCACCTTTTTATATATCTGCTCTCCAGTTTTATGCCATCTTTAGAGAAATGCTATTCAGGTTCTTTGCACATTTTTTTTAATCGGGTCATATGTTTTCTTGCTATTGAGTTGTATGAGTTCTTTATAAATTTTGGATATTCACCCATTATCAGATATATGGTTCTCAAATATTTTCTCCCAATCTGTAGGCATCCTTTTCATTTTGTTGATTGTCTGTCTTTTGGTACAGAAGCTTTTTAGTTTGATGCAGTCCCATTTGTTTATTTTTACTTTTATAGCCTGAGCTTTTGGTGTGATAGCCAAGAAATCATTGCCAAGGCCGATGTCAAGACATATTTTGAAATGTTACAAATCCATTTCCAAAGGCAGGATTAGCAGACATTTAGACAACTAACATGTTTCACTTCATGTGAAGAACATAAAGAAACAATGTCAAAATTAAATGCATCCTTATATTTATCATCTAGACTTGCTGTCCAAAAATAGCTAGGGTAAAATCCTGTGGTTGGTCGATTCACAATTTGGGAAGGATCTGACTCAAAGATTCTTTGTCAGTGCAAATGCGAACATTTCCCTCACCTTTTTTTGTTTAAATCCATCTTCTCAGTACAAATAGCTCAACCCCACCCCAACATCCTGTTGCTCTGACACATTTCCACAGCCACATAATCAAGCTATCCAATGTGTGGTAAAAGGTTCCCATTATCTTTCGGATAAATCTCAATTTCTAAGTGAAAAACTCTGCCCTACTGTTACTACTAGAGAAAAGAATTTGTGTCTTTCAGCCAGACACTCACATCCAGATTCAGGCCCACAGCTGATTCCCGGGGGACCCCACAACTGCGTCCCCTACACATAGTGCATACTACACACACGGCTGTCATCCACTCCCAAAACGGGGACCCAAACCCTCTGAGGTGGCTTCTCTGGGACTCTTATTCTCAAGGTGAAGATAATATTCTGGGGACAGTGACACCAACCAAAGTGTCACCCACAACTAAGTGATGGCTTGTGTTGGCCCAGACGTCCAGGGTCCAGGTCTGTACCTCTATATTTACCCCTAATAGCATCTCCTGGCAGGTGGCGGTGCTCTGATGTGAGCTAGCACAGTGGAGAGGAGGAAAGGGAGTTTAAATTAAAAAGAAGAAAATCCCTGTGCTGACATAAGGATGGGGCCCTCCAGCAGGACGGCCGTCCACCTGCATTTAGCCTGGCCCTCCAAGTTGCGCCTTCAAGGCTCTCCATCATGGAGTATTACCTCTGACTTTTTGTGACACTATGTTTGATATCTTTTTGCTAAAAATTTCCAGTGAAAGTGTGAGCCCAGTTGTCTCTCTGATGAGTATCATGAGAACTTAGTGACTTAGTGAGCTCACTTCCTCCTGATTGTGTCTCCTTGAGCTGATGCATTTTTTCCTGTTATTTCTAAGAAGTCATCTGCACATGGGCATCCCCCGGGAACTCCTCCAGAGTATTCGTCTCTTCTGTCCTCCCACTGCTCCTCTGTGACGCGTTCCACTCCCAGGTGGCCATCTTCAGAGCTTCCTGAGCTTCGGGTCACTCCCCATGTCCCTTTCAGCAGCTGGGATCACCTCCTGCGTCCTAGGCCACCAAAGCAAGCCTTCCTTCCCCTGTTACTGTGCCCTCCTACTCTCCGCGTCCATATCCCTACTTCCATTGCTGCTTTTCCCCCTTTTCTCCCCAGAAGACATGCTCTCGCTTTTCTAGAAGGTCCATCCTTCCCTCCTCGCTCTCAGTCCTGTGCACTCCTACTTCCTCCCTGCCCACCCGTGGTGTCGGGTGCCTGGCCTCTCCCAGCTGGCTTGGTGCTTATGAAGACACCCAGTGGTCTCCCCACTGTTGCTCTTTGACCTGCCACCTGTTTCTCTCCTCTCCCCTCCCCCCTTTCACTTTTGAACTTCTTTAAAAAGCGAACAGTCTCCCTCACCCCCTGCCTCCACTTCCTCCCAGCCCACTCTCCTGAGCCTCTTGCTTCTGGATTCTGCCACCACCAGTGGAGTGAAATATTCCTTCCTACCAGATTGTAGATTGACAAGGGGACAAGGGAGGGGACTGAAGAAACCTCCTCGTGCAGAGGGCGTGAACGCGGCATCCACCACGGGGCTCTGTAGTTAACAAGGCTGCCGTGGGGTCTGACCTCCAATGTCAATGCAGAGGGGTCGAAGGCCACATGGACCCCACACCGTATTTTGAGTGAGGCGGACAGCCCCTCGCAGAGCCGTAGGATGTATCTGGGATGGGATGCAGGAGAGAAAGGAAAGCGGCCGTGGAAGAGATCTGAAGCGAGAGGAGGCGTGTGTCAGAAGGAGGTGGGTAAGAAGGGATGGATGTTGGGAATGTTCAAATTTGTGAGCAAGGAAACGCCGGCACAAGTGCTGCTCCCGGTTCTCGGGCCCATTACAGTCGAGCGTTTCCTTTCTGTTCCCTCACGCCAGATGTGACCTTCACAGCAGCTTTTTTCTTGCTTCAACCGCCATTTCCCACAACGTAATAATAATAAAAAAGCAAAACAACAAAATAGTTTACTGCATGATGCTCAGAGCATAAAAACAAAGCCATTCTAGGTTTAGTTGGATGTGGGGGTTAATTTCCTCATTAGTTTTGCAACTTGCTGCTACATCTGAGCATCACATCGTGTGTGTGTGTGTGTGTGTGTGTGTGTGTGTGTGTGTGTGTGTGTGTTTCAAATAGCACCAAATTCACAACAAAATTACTTCGGGCCATGGGCTTGTGGGGCTGCCCGTAATACTTGGCTTGCTCCTGTCGGCTGGGACTGACCACCTCTGTGCATAATAGGGACTGTGAAAATGCTGGTAACCCAAGGGAACAAACATCAATGGCACAGCATTCCACATTTTCAAAGGTCTTTTCTTTCTTTTAATTCTCACAACAAATCGGGTGGGGCAAATGTATTCCTCCTGGTCTTAGAGGAGCCGGTGCGGGAGCGTACAGCTCAAAGCGCGGTGGAGGGGGGCAGACGGCCCCGGGCGGGGCTCTGCGGAGGGTCCCGCAGGGGCAGGTGAGCCCCTGCATCGCAGACCCTCTGTCCTCGCTGCTGGACTACCTGCTGCCTCTCCCTCACTCACGTCGTTTCTCCGCACTCCCAGCGCGGAGCAGACTCCGTCAGCCAGACCGAATGCGCTATCGTGCATGCGATGCAGTCCCTGAAACCGAGCGCGCGCAGGCTGCACCGTCCTCAGCCTCCCTGTCGGCCGGCGCTCTCCTCTCCCGCACGCGTGTGTACCACGCGGGAGAACAGACGAGGTTATGTCTTTTTATGTTTATTTTATGTAGCATTTGTATCACTTTTTCTTTTCTTCCTCCATTCTGTCGTAGCACCTTACGGAAAGAAATGGCTGTTGACCTCTTCCGTCACCAGGCTCCGCTGTCGCGAGTGGTCACAACCGTGAAGCCCTACAACCCCTTCAACAGGAAGGAGAGGCCGGCCGCGGGCTCCTAGGCAGGCCCTGCGCGCCCAGCCGCCGCCGGAGCACGCTGCGCATGCGCGGCAATAAAGCGCGTTGACTCCACGTGGGTGCGTGTGTGAGTGCGGCGCGCTCCTCATCCGCAGGGCCCAGCGTCCCCGCCGCGCCTCGGCCGCTCTCCGTATCCGCGTGGCGGCCTCTCGGCCCGGCCTGGGATGCCACCATTGCACGGCGGCAGCCGAGATCTGGCAGCCGCCAGCAACACGTTTCACTGTAGAAGTTGCCTCTGGGGCTGGAATACGGGCTGTGCCAGGACAGAGGTCTCACACCCCAGCCGCGGGGGCGCGGGGATTGTAACCGCGGAGCGCAGACCATAGATTTTAGGGTCCCAAGGGCGATCTGGCCCCAAACCCGCATGTGGTCAATGGGAAAGCTGAGCTACTAAGAGAGAAAGTGTTTGCTTTTCCCACAGGGGACAACATCAATGATGCAGAAAGGCAAACCCTCCCTCTCCCTGCTCCGGTATTTCTCTCCCGAGAGAGAAGCATTTCCCGGGCTCCCAGAGGGCCATCAGGCAGGGATGATCACTTGGGGGTTAGAGTGTGGCCTGGCCTGGCCTTGAACAAAGATACTCTCAGCTCGCGGGATCACTCGAGTGTGCGTGTGCGCTGTGCCGGATCCCTCTGGCCTTCCAGATAGAGTTCTAGTTGTATACGCACGGAATGTATGTATCCAGTATTTGTATACACATATCTGTAGAGCCTGCTGGGGTTTACAGAGTGCCTGCATAAACCATAGCTCATTTGATCCTGCATTCCCATAATCAATTCTTGTAGCAGGTATTTTACAAATATCTTGCTATTTTATGAATAAAATAGACTGAGGCTGGGAGACGTGAAGCATCTAAGATCACACAGCTAATAATTACTAGGGTTATAACTAGAAGCCAGGTTTTCTGAATTTAGGTATCATACCTACCCCCTTCATTTTTCCACAGATCGGAAAATCTTCACTGATTCATTAAAAAACAAACAAATAGAAATAGGAAAAAAAAAAAAAAACCCTCCCTGTGTGTCTAGACTTTCTAAAGTGTTTCTCAGGGTTTCTACCTAACTCCTTCGCCAAAGAAATGCAGATCAAGATAATTATCCCTCAGAATTCTGAGTAAATGTGTAAATGATTTGGGGGGTAGGTTGGCTTTGTTTTCACGGCAGAAACAGGAAAATTGGCTGTTTTTGTTATTCAATCATGTATTGCCTCAGTGGACAACTACACAGACTTTTATGTTGACTCTTCTACCAGGACAACACGAAGACCAACAGCCATCCCTCCTGAGGATGGACTTGCCTTCGTGGAAAAGGAATGACTTCACCTGAACCCAATCTTGTAGTCTAATTATTTTCAGAAAGAGTATGTCTGAAAAAAATCAGATCAAAACAAAAATCTTCAACTCTGGAAGGTTTTCAGTAAAACACAAATGGGGCAATATTAGCACTGTCCAGGAAGTAGATTGATGTAGGCATCTGAGATTACATTTTGCAGTAAACATCCCTGGCAGGCCACTTTGTCAGGAGGTGTTGCTGCTCAAAATCTAACGCACCTGTTCATCATTCTGGGCCTTTCTAAGGCAGGTACCAGTAACACCGGATCTTAACATTTTGCACACTAAAATAATTTTTCCATTCTCTACAGTGCAGATGACTGGACACCTATCAGAGCACTCGAGTACTTCAACAGCTGCTTCTAGAAGGATATTGGTTTGTCTGTAGCATCCCCTAGCCTCATCCAAGAAAAGAGATGAGGACTCAATCCATTTGCACCATAACTTGTTCAGACTTCTCACTTGTGCAGATAAAATGCAAATTCTGCTCACCACAGGCCTAGAATCTAAGGCCAGCCACAACCACGAAGAAATACCAGTGTTCCTGGCCCTGACCTGCAAGTGAAAGTTGTAGTCTTTGGGCTTCTGTGGTCAGCAGTCCAACTGCAGATCGTCACAGTCAAGGAAGATAGTCTCAGGGATGTGTATCCGCTCTTCAAATTCTGAATTCTAGTCTCGGATGATTTTGACACCCCAGGAACCAGCACAGTTATGCCTCTTCCTCGAGTAGCAACTTGCCCCTTACTCCCTGCCCCCAGGCACAGGCTCCCCTACAACGTTACCCTCTCAGCTTTTATTTATCCCTAGGGATAGCACAAACATAGAGAACCTCTGCATTTTTATGGCTCTTAGGTAGAAGATGTTAGTAATTATAGAGTTCACCTAAAGGAGAAAATGCATGCTAATAGCTTTATTCTAGCAAATAAGGATGTTACAATGCAACATGGTAAAAATATTATGAAAGTACAATAATATGAAAAAATATGGTACTCATGACAGAGTAGAATAGAAAATAGAAATGATCAGATGAAATTATTTTAAATCCATGAGTACAGGGTAGATTTTTGTCAATAGATGATATTGGGACAACTGTTTGGAAGCAAAAAATAAATTAGACCCATTAAACAAATTGCTCCTGGAATACAGGTTTAAATAGATAATTTACAGATTACCTAAAAATTCAGGGGAATTTGTTTATAAGGTGAGGAGTGTGGAAAATTTTTCCAAAGATGACACTGAGCTAAAAATCATGAAGGAAAAAAAAAAAAAAACCCTACTTTTAACATAAAAAATACCACCAAAATTTTAAGACAAACCTGTCAGGAAATATGTCAGACAAATGATTCATATTCTCATAAAAACAGCCCATGATTTAAAAAGTGATTATACCAATAAAAACAAGGCAAATGATGTTAACAGAAAAATTCAAAAAATAAGAAATATGAATGTGTAAAATTTTTGTACCTCTGAAAATGACTGTAATATTTCACTTTTCACACACAAATTGGTGCTGGTGAGAAGAGATAGGTGTCTTTATATACCACCAGTAGGAGTTGACGTTGGTAACACCTTTCTAGAGGACATTTGGCAAAATGTTTTGAGAGCCTTTATAAGTGGCATATTTTTCAATTTAGCAATTTCACTTTCAGGGCATTGTTAAGCAAATAATTATACTAGTGAGCAAATACGTGTGCATAAAGAATTAAAGCTTCAGCATTTACTTAACTGAGAGAAAATAGAAACAACTTAATGCCCCTCGAGAGGAAATTTGATAAATTGTTATATATGGATATATTGAAATACAATATATGCATTAAAATGATAATAGACCTCAATATTTGCTTTCATGGAAAGATATGCAGGCAGTATTGATAAATGCAAAAGCAGATATTACAACAATATATATTTAATTGTCCTATTTAAATTTTAAATATGTGTATGCATAGAACAATGCTGGGAGGTGTAAAAAAGGGTCATAGTTATTAGTTCTGGGATTACAGGTGATTACACTTTTATACCATTAAACTACAGTAGAAATGAATTTCTTTAAAATTGGAAAATTTGAAGTTATAAAAACTTAAAACTTAAAACTTAAACTCTTAAAACTCTTCAAAGTCCCTTATATATGAAGCTATGTAAAAAAATTCCTTTTAATAATTTAGTACCAGAAAAAAGTTTATCGCTCCCAAAGAACTGGTTTCTGAGTATGAGAACCATTTGTCACCCACCTCTATTGTTTCTAAAATTTGGTGGTTATAATATATACAAGAGTGAAAATACATAGGGTAAAGTGCTTCATTTCGCCTTACCTGCCAGGAAGCTCCAAACTGAAGTAAATAAATATGGTAACTTACAGACTCGAACAAACTTGAGCCAGGCTTCCACATTTAAAACTGGTATTTTACTAAGTTTTTTGTCATTTTGATCCACATTCAGGTGTGAAAACCACTGATTCTGGTGGTTGATGGGCTTGCTTTCCTCCCCTTTCCACATGGTTTTAGATTTCTCCGTGTCTACTTTGCTATCCTTATAGTATTAGGAGATGCCTTAGATCCTTGAGGAAATTAATGAGATACAGATTACATTAAAAATATTTAATTTGCTTCCTATGAGTGTTTCATGCACAAAATGAAGCACTGTCTTGAGGATGGAAAAAAAAAAAATCAGACCCCTCTCCTAATAATTATCCAAATTGTTTTCATGGTCAGAGAAGGCAATTATCCAGTAGTAGCAATGACCTAAAAACCCACAATTATTTTCTAATAAGTGAGAATATCCTAAATTAAATCTGCTTGCTCCATTTAACCCACTGTAGACCAGATTATTTTAATCTCTGGGAAGCACAGAGTTTTGCATTTTGATCCATAAAGTGCTAAACATAAAAGGCAAAGAAGGAAGATGCAAATAAAGGAGCTATAATTATATAAGGAATAGGTATGTTTCTCAGCAAAACAGATTTTGAGGATTGATATATTAAAATATCTACTTCAAAGTGGTGTTTTTTCATCACCACTCTCCCATAACCCTGGGAAGGCAAGGAGGCATTCAGGTTATGAAACCGGGTTTCAGAATCAGCCTGAAGAGGGTCCAAGTTCTGCCTACCACACTCTCCAAGCCGGCTGACTCGCCCTTGGGAGCCACAACTTCCTGAGAGTGAATTAACAGTCACCTCATAAAAATGCTATGACCATAATTACAAGAATCTCATTATCTGAGATAGCATGGGATAGTGATCTACACTTGTCCAGTGCAACAGAAACCCTGGGACACAGGAGCCCGTGGGCTCCACACAAAGTATCCAAGTCAACAAGCAAATGGAGCAATTGATAGAGAGTCATAAACAATGTATGTGGGCCGGGCGCAGTGGCTCACACCTGTAATCCCAGCACTCTGGGAGGCCGAGGCTGGTGGATCATTTGAGCTCAGGAATTTGAGACCAGCCTGAGCAAGAGCGAGACCCTGTCTCTATAAAAATAAAAAAAGAAAATAAAAAAAGAAAAAGAACAATGTATGTGTCAAGGATGCTACAGAGAATATCAACGTGCATAATCTCTCAACTCAGACAAGTACAAATTAAATCTTTAGTGTAGTAAGTTGGGTGATTTTTCTTAAAAAAACTACATTGCATTTTAAAAAATAAAAATATTATGTCTT